ATAAAACCCCTTTTTATTTAGGTGAAAGTGAATTCCTCTCCAGCAAAGTCCTGGCCAGCAGTCTTTCCAGAGATTTCACAATGACAGGCCTTTATCAGGCTTGGAGAGCTGCCAGGCCGATATCTTCCAAACTCCATGCTGTAGCAGCAATTACTTGGCAAGAAGTCAGGAACAGATCTTCACCCGAATGAATTGAACTAATTGTCTCCTGCAAACTCCATTCCCCTTTCGCTCCTCTTTATTGCCTATGGGAGGGGCCATTCCCTGTCCACCTATGGCTCTTCTCCCAGGTCGACCCTTGTTCCTTAACTGTTCCCTTCTCGTGGCAGCTTGGTGCATGCGCACATCGGAAACAGGCTCCAGCTGTTCTTCTGCCCCACTGATTTCCGACTCCGAAGGCAACTGATAACTATCAGACGGCCCTGGCCCCCTCTCGGCCTCCGACACAGACCCCTCATCAGAGCCTTCCCCCGACTCCAGGACTGGCCCATCTTCCTCCCCAACCTCCTCACTGTCTGAGTCTGCCACCAGCCGTGTTGGCCTCTGGCGGAGCAGCCCACTAATTCACCAATGGTCCCTCATTTGAACCTTTGACCTACAAATATTCTCTTCCGTTGAATTAACATTGTTTTTTGTGCATTAAGATCTGAATTATTTTTGCTGATTTTTTTATAAAAAAAACAAAATGCCTTCGTGTCTTTGCACCCCTTAGATTTCCGTCGGATGTAAAACCTCTGAAAAAATTGCTCAGAACCAAGTCCACGTACAATACTCCACCGATTTTGGCGTGAGTTGGAGATACCTCATCCCTCAATGTTTGCCTGCCGACCCTAAGTGCTCTGGGGCCGTTTCCCAGCCCTCGGTCTTCTTTCCAACCAAAGGATGGAAAAGGATAACGTACCCATTGCCTGAAAACCTAGTAGGAAAGTAAGTAGGAAACAATACTTCAGTGGCTAAGACGCTGAGCTTGTCGATCAGAAAGGTCAGCAGTTCGGCGGTTCGAATCCCTAGCACCGCATAACCGAGTGAGCTCCCGTTAATTTCTCCCAGCTTCGGCCAACCTAGCAGTTTGAAAGCATGTAAAAATGCAAGTAGAAAAATAGGAACCACCTTTGGTGGGAAGGTAACAGCCTTCCGTGCGCCTTTGGTATTTAGTCATGCCGGCCACATGACCACGGAGATGTCTTCGGACAGCGCTGGCTCTTTGGCTTTGAAATGGAGATAAGCACCGCCCCCTAGAGTCAGGAACGACTAGTACGAATATGCGATAGGAACTTTTACCTTTATAATTAATTATCAAATAGAGGCATGGCATCATAACAAAGGAGGGGGGGGGCCTACAATGTACCGAAGAAGGAGAGATTGGAACATTGTGTAAATGAGTTGAAAGTTTTTGCGTTTCCAAAAACTCTCGATCCGTTGGTTAAAAGCCAGAAAACCGGGACCGGAAATACTGAAGGGCTGATTTTCCCATTCAAGTAGTCCTCGACTTACAACTGTTCATTTAGTAATCGTCTGAAGTTACAGCAGCACTGAAACAAAGTCACTTAGGACCATTTTTCACATTTACAACCATTGCAGCATCTCCGTGGTCACAAAATTTGGACACTTGGCAACTGGCATGTACTTATGACGGTTGCAGCATCCCTGGGGTCATGGGATTGCCTTTTGTGATTCACTTAACAACCATGCTACTAATTTAACCAATGCAGAGATTCACTTAACAAATGTGACTAAGAAAGGTTGTTAAATGGGGCAAGGCTCGCTCAAAACAGCTGTCTCATTTGCCGTGGAAATTTTAGGCTGAGCTGTGGCCCTAACTCAAGGACTACCTGATTTAATTTCCCTTCAAAAATTTCAACCGAGACAAATTCACCACTTTCAATGCAATCCTTTCTTTTTAACTTGAACTCTATCTTGCAAAGTTTTCCAGAACTGAGAAAGCATATTTTCTAGAAATCGTGGCCTATAAATAGTGCCATTTATATTTACTATTTATATTGACATTGGAAGTGCTAAACAGAAATACAATAATACAATACAATAGCAGAGTTGAAAGGGACCTTGGAGGTCTTCTAGTCCAACCCCCTGCCTAGGCAGGAAACTCTATACCATTTCAGACAAATGGCTATCCAACTTCTTCTTAAAGTGTTGGGGCATTCACAACTTCTGGAGGCAACTTCTGTTCCACTGA